CAAACTAACCTCTCTGTGTCCTAGTTGTTTTTATCCATAAAGTGACAGGTAATTGGTCCATTTTCTCAACTATAAAATAGGGATGATGGATTATGAGGATTCAATGGTATAAGCCACTTAAAACACTAACCAGAATGGCTGACGTACTACTTGTAAGCACTCACTGTAATTTTTTCCAGAAGTAATGAGCATGTGTTAGGGGCAGAGAGTAAGCAAAACTGAGGGTAGATGTTGGTGATTACCGAAAATAACAATGTGGAGTTATTTTAAAGGCAGGGATCTTCCAGATGATCTGAACCAAATCACTGAAAAGCAGAAAAGGCCACAGAAGCTTGACCATTACCTTCCAAGGAGGAACAATCAATTTTTGAAAATCTGCCTAAAAAAATACCCTTGGCTTATATATGATGAGATACTAAATCTTATGTTCTGTGGCCTGTGTCGTAAACATGGAGTGAAGTCAAGGGGAAATCAAGTGAGTTTTTTTACGGCACTGACAACTTTAGGACAGAATTTCTCAACGCACATCATCTTAGTGAGGCTCACGCCAAGGCTTCATTAAAGGAAGCAACGAGTGGTTCTCCAGTGAACCGCACCACCACAGAGCTCATGGTGACAACCATGAGCAAAATCACCCCTGGGAGAATAGAGAACTTATTCAGATCATGCCATGCTATCGCCAAGACGGGACGTCCCCTCAAAGACTTTATCTGGATGTGCAAGTTGGATGATATGAAGGGGATTGATATTGGCCCAGTATTCAGAACTAACAAATCAGCAAGAACCTTTACGTATTTTATCCCTGAAGTAGAACGGAGGAATCTAAGAGAGAAACTAGAACAAAGTAAATTTTTCTCTGTCCTCAGTGATGGAATCACAGACAGTTCAACCGAGGAAGCTGAACTTGTCTATGTGCAGTTTGCACGTGCAGGAAAAGTGCATTGCCAAATTGTTGGGGTACAGACAGTAGACAAGAAGGATCCTTTGGCAATAAGAAATGCCATTGAGAAAACTCTAGAAAGAAATCTTCAACTTAAGCTATTGAACCAAGACTGGGCAAAGAAACTGGTTGGTTTTCGAAGTGATGGTGTCCTGGGCCCAGAGGGAGAAAACAATGGGGTGGCTCTGCTTTTAAGAGAAATCCAGCCATGTGTGCTGACTGTGTACTGCTTTGCACATCATCTTGAACTATCTTACAAGGCAGTGTTCCAGAGCGTTCCCCTGTACAATGATGTCAGAAACCTTCTTCACAGCGTTTACCACTTCTACCACAGTTCCCCTCTTCTCAGGAGTTCTCTGATGACTGCTTTCAAAAGCCTTCACCTTCGGCCTGTGATGCCTTCTCAAGAAGGGGCAGGAGGTGGCTTCAGGAATTACAGGCAGCCCTCCAGAACTTTCTCAAGGGATATCCTGCAATAGTCCAGCAATTGCTTTCGGTAAGTAATTGTGACATACCATACTGTTCTAGTTTTCCAGAGTGGCAGAGAATATCTTTATGGAGCAATTTGAAATAATAATTTTAAGAACAATAAACTGGTATTTTATTCCCGATCTATGTTACAGGCAGATGAAAACACCAGTCATCAGAAAGCCAAGGAACTCCTAGTGTTCCTTCTCCAAGCAGACATTGTTAAATTCATCCATTTCTTAGTGGATGTCAATAATGTACTTAGCATTCTTTCCCGTGTTAATCAGAACAGAAATTCTTCCATTGCTGACGTATTTGCCGTGTTAGAGTCAACACTGGAAGTGCTCAGAATATATCAAACAAAGTGAGGAATTGGGGAATGTCAAATGTCAAACTTAGATAGTATGACTGGGGACATTATTTGCCAGGTGCCTTTTCATTTAATTGTTTACTTGGGGGATTTTTTTTTTCCTCCCAGACCAGGACCAAAAGAACGTTGGGTGGATTCTGTCACGCACTTTCATGGTAACTGCCTGGAAGGAGAGGGAGACATTTCTGATGTAAGAAACACAGTCTTAACACATCTTATCAAGAGGCTGCAAGGCTACTTCAGAGATGCCAGCCAGGATGTGGTGAAGGCTACCATGATTGGGAGCTTTAAACTGTGGCCCGCAAAGATAAACCGAGGTACCCTATATGCACTACCTCCAAACCTACTGTTCTTTGATCCTCTGTAGGTTTCTTTCATATCTTGACTTTTTCTCTTGTATATCAATGGCAGAATTTGGAGAAAAAGAGGTATCTATACTGATTGCCCATTATGAACTAGTACTGGAAGCTGCCAATGTGGAGATCGAGGAAGTAGACACTGAATGGAGCATGTTGAAATTAGAGATATATGCTAGGTAAGCAAAGTTGGTATTTATAAATATTTGAATGAAACTTGGGAGTCTCAATCTTTTACATTTTTCATTCTCCTCCCACCCCTTAGATTTCAGAACATCCGCAAATTGACCTGGGATTTTGTGAATTCTGTTTACTTACACAAGTATCCAAATATCCTGACATTAGTGGACCTAGTGCTGACCCTCCCTGCAAGTTCCACAGAGGCAGAACGTGGCTTTAGTCAAATGAAACGCGCCAAGTCACAAATGCATGCCAAGATCAAGGCTGAAAGTATGATGGACCTTCCGATAATCCAGTTGAATTCTCCAGACATTAATAATTTTGACCCTCGGAAAGCTATCCATTTATGGAATACAAGAACACTGTCTTCCACTGGTGACACGAAACCTAATTCTGCTTGTTCATCAAACTCAGAAAGCCCTTATGAAAGTGAATAGTAATATGACAAATGTTGACTTTGTCATTGATCAAAACAAAAACAAAATCTTTTTAATCTGAAATTTAGAAGTAAAATAGTAACCAGTCTTCACATCAAACACAGAAGGCATTTGGCATTTTTCAGACAAAGCAAAAATACCCTGTACTTTTCTTTAAAAAAAAAAAAGAAGAAGATTTATTTATTTATTTATTTGAGAGCGAGAGTGCATGCACATGAGGGAGCAAGCCGGGAAGCAGGGTGGGGGGAAGGAGGAGAAGGAGAGTATCCTGACACAGACTCCCCACTGAATGTGGAATCCAATGCGGGGCTCGATCCCAGGACCCTGAGATCACGACCTGAGCTGAAATCAAGAGTCGACTTGAGCCACCAACTGAGCCACCCAGGCGCCCCTTCCTGTACCTAAGTCTACTTCTACATCCACACATTCTTTCACGTTCTTTAGATGGAGGTGATACTTCTAAGCAATGGTGTTATTTTGATGTCATCTCTTGCAGAGTTACTGCTAAAGGTGACTAGACTATGATTATGGTCTGAGTTTCCTTGGGCCTGGCATACAATTAACATCTTTCCTGGATAATTGTAAATGACACCTGCATTAAATAACTAACTTAGGGCCAAACTGAAAGAGAGGTATTTTGGGGGGGGGGGATCCATGAATAAGATTTCTAAGTTTCTCTGTTTATGTTATCATATTTTATGTGAAGGTCATATTGCCATATGCCTTGGCCACGTAGGTGACCAGGTCAAATATTAAAAAGTTTTCACATTTCACATTAAGGTCACCAGATAATTGCTACGTAAGCTGGAAGTATTGTCTTACAACACTTTGCTTGCACCATAGCTATTAAAGACAGTGGAAACATATTGCATCTCTACCAGAATTTTTAAATACTTTGAGCTTCTTCATGGATTCATAAAATAGATTTTATTTATGGCTTCATCTTGAGGAACATGAGTGATTATTTCTAACTTGTCTAAAATCCAACGTGGTTTTTACTGAAAATAAAGCTCATCTTACTGAACATTCCACTCCCTGGGAAAATGTTTCTCATCTCTATAAAATTGGATACTCAGCTTTGATCAAAAAGGATAGAGAATTTATTTCTGAATGACCTGTTGGATGGTCAGGCATATCAAAGGAAGAAAGATTCTGCACTTGCCACCCAAAAAATTAACTTCCAGATCTCAAAATTGTGTATTTGGTTTGTGTATTTTATCAAGAGGCTGAGTTTGAACCACTGACATTTTAAAAGGATTCGTGCATTTTCTTAAAGGTTATAAGAAATGTTAAGGTTCACATTGGACTTTTATAAATGCCAAAAATTCATATGTAAAAAGAAAAATTTGAGATGCTACATCTGTTTCTATTTCTACTCTTTTTATTTCTAAACAAGGAAGATAGCTCTATACTCTGGACCTGAAAGACCCAAATACATGTAGGAGTCTCTCCTGACTCTAGAAGGTACTTCTGTCAGAAGGGTTAGACAGACATTTTTTAAGCAGATTCATTTATTTTGTTTTCCTATTTCTTTTTTTAATGCATGCGCATGCAATTTGAAATGAGAGACAGACAAAACAGACTTCTCTTTTGGACAAGGTAAAAATAGATTAATGTATAAAAGCAAAGCACTTAAAAGGTTAGTGATCTTTTATGAAATACTTTGGAATATTGAGCCAATTGGATAATTAAATTATCACTTCCAATCCAGTAACTTAACAGTTCAAGTCTCCCTGCATTTACAAAAACAAAACAAAAAAATAATCTCTTCTGAGCCAAGTACAAAATGAGGATAAATGTGTTACCTTGATAACAGTGGTGATTTGTGTGCATTTGAAACACCTTTATCCCATACTCACCAAAATATTTTACTGTTGTCCTCTACTGCATATAGGAAAACTTACAGTTGTTTTTTTTTTTTAATTCTACTAATTCTACTCTGAGCAAAAAGTCAAAGGAAGATTCCAAATTAAAGTATAAATTCTCAGTATTTTGCCCAATCTGAAATGATTTATTACCTGGCCAAAAAAGACATTTTAACTTAGCTGAGACACAATAATGAGAGTGCCTCAGGAAACTTGATTATGATTCTTATGTTTTCAAATGTCTTCTGTTCTCTAAAGGCTACAGTTTTAAATAATATGAATAAAGTGATTATACAAATATCCATTTTTTGTTCTCTTTTAGCAAAAGAAACAAAGTCCCTGTTACATAACATAATTGGAAAAATATTTTTGATTTTACCGTAGGCATAATAGGACATAAAGCATTTACTGACATCCTGCTGGATCTGGTAACCCTAAACCTTGGAACAAACAACTTACCTGGTAGTTGGATGCACCTCACTCAACCCGAAGTAAGCTTCCATTTTGTTTGGGTGTCAAAACTCTGAGAATTCTTCTTATTTTATTAAGTCAATAGTTTTAAATCATCAGTACTTGCCATGTCTGACATTCAGGGGGCAATCATTAAAGCTGATTGAAGAACAAATGAGCTTGAATGTAAAATACCCTTTGTGTGTGTCCAGCATTGAAAGAATGAATGATGATGCTGACAGTGAATGAAAATTATAGAGCCCAGGAGGCTCAGCCTGTGAGTTTGTATCTGTTACTTCTGGAGGGAGTGATCCTGACTAGTAACAGGAGATGATTCTGGCAGTTCTTGCTTTTCAATGTAATCTGTCCCTTAAGAATGTACCAGAAAACCAAATGGTTATAGTATATCCCTACAGGCTGCAGAGCCCTTGCACAGCCATTTCTAGAATCTTTATCCTCACTCTGTTGAAAAGGTAAAGTGACCAGAGTCACATGTGTAAATTTGTTGTGTAACAGTAAACAAAAAACCCAAATGTGAAGGAAGCAAAAAGTGAAACAGTGTCTAAGTTCTGTCTGATGTGGATTGGTTGGTAGAACCAGAGGGAACAAACCTGAGAACTGACTCTCTTCGCCAATATAAACCTGTCCTTCCTTCATCTGAATGTCTCATGAAGAAACATGAACTGAGAGAGTTTCAAGGTAGAGTCATATGAACATTCCAATGGCATTTCCTGTTTTCTTCTAGTTGCAGGAGTTAACATCTTTATTAATAGTAAACTTGGAGTTTGTGGACTGGCGGAAATTCCTATTAGTAATCTCGATGCCTTGGATCATACCCATGGAGGAAGAGCTCCTCAAGACCCTGCAGAGGTTCAAGGCCGTGGATGAAGAGCAGCTGGGCACCATCACTTTCGAGCAGTATATGCAGGTTGCTACCAGGGCCTGGTGGCACTAACACTACTGGAGTACTTTTGACCTAAGAAATGTATTATTCACTGGTCTTGGGCCAGCATTCTGCCCCTCAGGTGTCCATGTCTGGGCACCCAGAGGCAGTGCAGACACTGTCCAAGTCCCAGGTGGAAGTCTAGCTTCCCTAGGGAAAGGGTCTGGAGAAAGAGCTGGTAGGAGAACTAAGAGCTCTGAAAGAAGTCACAACAACTTCATTGTCCTTCTCCTAGCTCCTACACAGTGGTCCTTAACCTTGGCTATAAACTAGAATCACTTGCAGAGCTTTTAATACATCTAATGCCCAATACCCAATACTCTGGGAGTAGTAAAAACAGTACTACCCAGGGAAATGAACACAGGGAGAGGGGAAGGGCTTTTTCTCCATTTGGTCATGAGCATGGTGAATGATGAGATAGTTTGTGACAAGTTAAGTTTGAAATGTCTGTGAAAAATGCAGACCGAAGCGTCCAATCTCATGCCGCAGATGCAGAACAGATTGCAAGTCACTATCATGTAGGCAGTGATTAAATTTATGAGTGGACAAGATACCCAAAGGAAGTGTGGAAAGTGATGAATAACTCAATAACATGATACCTGGCCATTGGCCTGGGCAGGTAGGCCATATAACACGTGACCTTTTCCAGAGCAATTTTGGTAGAGTACAGAATCCAGATTGCAGAGGATTGATTATGTGAATAGGTCTCTAGGAAGTGAAGATAAAAGTCAATTCATTTTTTAGAAGTTTGAGTAAAGAAGGAGAATGAAACCCCATAACTAAGAGGGCCTGAATTACTTATTTTGTGTCTACTAATTGAAATCATCTTATTGCTCATCTTTTCACATTGCTGGTAGACACAAAAGATGAAAGTGATTATAAGGTTCTAATTTTGAAATAGGGTAATACTCTTTAGGTGCCTGTATCTTGTGTATATTTCAATATTGAAAGAGCACATCCCTTCCTGCTTCTCTTTTTGTCCTTAATTAATGGATGGCATGTGTATAGACAGCCCCCGGTGTTCCCATGCTTGTGCTGTTGAGCCAGAGGAAATAATACTTGAATATGAGGAGGTTCCTTCAAGGCTGGTCAAGACAGGTGCTTTGGCTGATTGGGCTTTGATAAATTTTCTTCCCAAGTAGAGCAATTTATAGATACTACCACTGACCTCGACTTAAAACTTGTGAAAATGATTTTGTCTAAAAATAAAAACAACAGAGCAAAATTTACTCTATTTTCATCATGGGCTTAAGTTTTTAATAACTGAGCACTTGCGAAATTACCAACCTTCGCTACAGTATGTGCCAATTCCCACAGGATAGCAATTTAAACATCCTTTTGTACAAACATGAGACGAACAAAGGATGTTGGCAACTTTTACCAAAATGCTGAGCCAAAACCAGAAAGCTCCTTTACCAAAAGTATAAATTTCTTAGAGAAAGTTGGTGGCTGCATTTAAAAGAAAGAAGTACTTATTTGAACACCTCCTGTGTTTGGGGAGCAGTCCATTTCCCAGCTCAGCACTCTCCCCCACCCACCCACTTCCCAGTCCAAGGAGCCCCAGGATAAGAAGGCCATTTGGAAAGGCCCACTTGGTCATCCCACATGCCTTTCAGAGATTTCCAACACTTGCTAGCTCTCTCACACACACACACCAAAAACAAAACCAAAACCAAAAAAAGAAAAAAAAGTTATATGGCAAATGTCAAAACCACTTCTAGAGCAAAATTTTATGAGATTTGTAAAAATGCTACATTAGAACAGTAAGGTAGAATAACATGCATCGCTGAAATGGAGTTCTCTGGCAGAGGAGGGCTCTCTACACTGCTTTTTATTTTGTTTGTCTTTTTCTTTTCTTTTGACTAATTGCAAGTTCACCACAACAGCCACTTAAGAGTGTGCTGATTTCCCCAACTTCTAAAATGGAATGAGATAGCTGGTGAAGTCAGCTGGGCTGTGTACCTGGGCTGAGCTCTGCGAACACAAAAGCCTGTTTGCCCTCTACCCCCAGCCCTCCTGCAGCTGTCACATGCTTGCCTCTATGGTGTGAGGAGGCTGAGCCACTTCAGGTAGGATTCTGTGACAATGACTCTCAGCTCACCTTCTGTCCATGAGAATGCATGTGATTACAGGGTTAATGAGTCAGATGTTCTGGGATCCAAACAACACAGTGCTCATTCTTTAAGGAAAAGTAAAAAACAAAACAAAACAAAACAAAACAAAAAGACTTCAGCCATGATATGGGAAACAAAGGCAGAAGAAAAATTATTAAATTTCCTTACTACCTACAGCCCATTGACTAGTCCTTGAAACAGGCAGAGTGACAGTCTTCTAGGGACACAACTGCCTTAATATTGATACTTTGCTGAGGGCAAAAGCCAATCTTAGCCCAAGCCCCAGGACCCTCTAAGTTTACTTTAACATATAAAAATTCCTTTGGAAACTTCCTTTATCTCTACTCCCCAAGATACACATTGGCAATCATCCCCCAAGTATATGACACACCCATATACATCTGAAGGGTCTCATGACTGAGTTTTTACTAAACAGTAATAAATGACCTTTCCTAACAATAGCTAGCCCCCTCAGGATCCTGAAAACCTTGTTTCCAAAACACCTGGGAGGCTTACACTATCCTTAACCTCCTCCCAACTTGAAATTATATGAATGGCCACTCTTCATGACCCCTGAACAGCTCTTTCTGCCCACAGGTTCTGTCCCAGAGCTTTAATAAAACCACCTTTTTGCACCAAAGACGTCTCAAGAATTCTTTCTTGGCCTTTAGCCTTGAACCCTAATGTCTTTCCTGTGTCAGGCCATGTTTTAGCAAGAGAGCACAAGGGACATTTCCATCTTTTAAGGAGAAGTCACCTAATAATCCAGTGACTCATGATATGGTTGACAGAACCTTGCTTTATCAATTTAAACCCTACTATCCAGGCTCACATTTAACATTTCACATTGCTACAATTTTCACGGATGACTTCTTAAAAATCAGAACTTGTTTTCCAGTCAGGTTATTTTTTTTCCTTTCTAATGTGCCCTTCTTTTGTGAGAAACACACAATGTTCTCATTTATGCAATATCTTATATTTTTAGTAAACTAATATGAATGAATCCTTGGGTTTAAGGATCAGGGAAAATTCCTGTGCATCGAAACAATTAAACATGGAATTGAGAGTTGGTTGAAAAATGGTAGGAGGAATTGGGATCCAATCTCTATTTCTTTTTTCCCTTCTAGCTTCTTTTACCATTTCCTCTTTGTCCCCAGTTTCCAGCAATTTGATTATTGTGTTCCTTGGTGTGGTTTTCTTCATGTTCTGCTTGGTTCACTGAGCTCTCAAATCTCCATGGGTTTTGTAGTTGTTGTCAAATTGGAAATTTTTCAGGATTTTTTTTTTCCTAAATATTTTTTCTGCACACCCACCCCATCTCAAAATCCAATCACATGCTTATTGTCCCACGGGTCATTGATGCTTGGTTCATTTTTTTTTCCAGTCTTATTTCTCTGTGCTTTACTTTGTATTCATTTCTATTCCTATGTCTTCAAGTTCACTGATCATTTCCTCTGCAGAGCTGAATCTGTTATTAATACCATGCAGTGTTATTTTTCATTTCAGATATTAAATTTTTTGTCTCTAGTAGTTCAAGTTGGTTCTTTTTTATATCTTTCATTTTTCCCTTCATTATGTGCTTGTTTTTTCTCTATCTCCTTTAACAAATGAAATATATTTAGAATAGCTGAAGGAACATCCTTCTCTGTTCATTCTATCATCTGTGTCATTTTTGTGTTTGTTGTTATTGATTGGTGTTTATTCTGACTATAGGTCATATGTTATGGCTTTTTTTGCATACCTAGTAACTTTATATTGGGTGCCAGATGTTGTGTATCTTATATTGTTGGGTGCCCAATTTTATGGGCACCTTTAAATATTGTTGGGCCTGCAGTGGTGTTACTTGGAATCACTTCTATCATTTCGAGGTTACAATAAGATTTATAAGGGTGGGTCCAGAGTGGCCATTAGGTGAGGGTTAATCTGGTCCCACTGCTAAAGCAATTATTTCTGGGGGCTCTCTCCAGTGCCTGTGTTTGAGGAGATCCTTCCACTCTGCTTGGTGGTAATATAGACTCTTCCTTTCAGCTCCATGTGAGGCTCAGTAATTGTTCAGCTTACTCCTTTCCTATGGTTCTTTCTCCAGCTTCTGGTATCTTCCACAAACACACATCCACAGATTGGCAAGTCAAGACTTATAGAGATCCCTCTGTGAATCCTTAGAGCTTGCTTTCCCACTCAGTGCATTGCTAGTATTCTGCCCTGAAAGTTCTAGCCATCTTGGCCTGCCTCAACACAAAATCTGTCTTCTCAACTCAGAAAGACAACCAGACTCTATTTGGATGCCTCCCCTGGTGCTGCAGCCTGGGAACTCCCTCCAGCCTAGAACACTAGTAGGACTCCTTGGTTGCTTCCCTTAGTTCAAGAATTACTATCCTGTGTTGCCTATCATCTAATGTCTGGAAAATCAACTTTCAGATATGTTGTTCATTTTTCTTGTTGCTTAAGTAATTCTGAACTTTGGTGCTCCATCATATCCCTTACCTATGTTCCTCATCAGTCTATTCTCCCATTGAGTGGTACTTACCCTCCACAGATTAGCTATTGGGCAAGGGTCTCCTCCTGGTCAGTGCAAAAGCATATTCAAAGCCCAAGCCCATGCTGGAACTTACACTTCTTCTGAGTCTTCTCTCACAGGGTACACATGGCCAGCGTCTCCTTTGTCCCAAATGAAAAGAAACCTTTGGGGGCTTCATCCCCTTACAAGTTATCCAATGCCACTCCAGCCTTCTCTCAAAGCACAGGTGATCCTTGGAAGGAAAGAAAGCATACAGCATAGGCCAGAGTCAGGTTAGACAAGCTAGTGGCTCTTGGCAATAGAGTGATGAGAGTAGGTGTCACTCTGGAAGATGGTAAGAGAGCTAGACTTGGGAACAAAATGCATATGTATATGAAGTGCTTACCATGTACAAAAATTAAGGTTGGAATGACATATTCTTTAAACCCAGCGAATTTATACCTGATGTTCAACAGCAGACATGAATGGCAACACCTAAAGGAATGGACTAAATGTCCATTGTGTGGTATAAACAAGTCAAATTGGAGTTCAGAAGCAAGATCAAGGAGGGCATCTATAAGGATGTGTGATCAGAACAGAGCCTAGAGAGAGGTGCAGGTTTACATGGATGGACAGGAAGTCGAACCTGGTAGGAGGGATGATGTGAACAGAAGAGCAAGAGTAGGAAATGGTTCCAAACAGAGAATATGACAGATTAAAGTTTTGAGGAAATTGATACAGTTGCATGGTACAGGCTGAAAAAAATGAGACTGGAAACAAAAATGACTCAGAGCTTACTAGGATGGCCTATGACAGAAGTAAAGAGGCTCTACCCCAAGGTAGCAGGAGTAGGGATGGAAAGAAGGAAGAGAAGGGAGAGACATTGTGAAATAGGAATCAGAGGATTTGATAATTGGTATCACATATGGGCTGAGAAAAAGGGATGTCATTACAAAGTAGGCCATTGAGTCAGTCACTCACTCAATGAAGATTCTTCCAACAATGTGCTCCAGCACCACACTAGGCTCTGAGAATAGAGAGCCACACAAAGGGGACATGTGGAATGTGAGCTAGTGTTATGAGTGAAGACCCCTCCAGAAGGTTGCCATGCAGGCAAAATCTAGGGCAATGACCTCCAAACTTCATCACATGTCTAACAGATAAAATATAGCTAGCATCCCCAATATGTGGATTTTCATTTATAAATTGTACATGTGTACTACTGTACTAATACATTACTTATATTATCAAATTTTTAAGAATAAAGATTATATAAGAATCATATCAAAATATGTGTAAATGGAAGTTCTAGGATTTTTTCCTGCATCCCCCTGGTTTTTGAACCCTATTTTGGAGACCACTGCTCTAGACAGTTGAACAAGATGGATTCAATCCCTGTGGCTTTGAGAGGAATGATACTTGAATAATTTTCATTTTTATTTTTTGTATAGGCTGGTCTGTGGTTTACAAAAGATGAAGATATAAAAATTCCAGACAATCCTCTTGAACCCTTGCCATTCAATAGGCAAGAGCATCTTATAGAGGTAATTACTGAGATCCTTTAAAAAATTTACTACTATGACACTGGTAAGTTTCTTTGTCTTTTCTTCCACTTGTGTAATTTGTTTTGGATTTTACCCCTGGCCCCCAGTTCCTTTACTGTATCCCCAGAATGTAGACTTTAATGTTCATAAGGTGGCAGCACAGAGAAGTTCTGGGGGAGGAGACAGGGACCAAAATCTTAGACAGAGTCCCACTGTTAACTCAGTGTGATCTTGAACAAATTTCATAACCCTTCAGGTCTCACTTTCCTCATCTGTCAAAGTAAGCTGCTGCTCAGCATATTTGTCTCTGAGGGTCCTTCCAATTCTAAAAGCTTAGGGTAAGAACTGTCATTTTACCAACACAGTAATCGCCCCCTGCCTTGGGATACATCTCAAGACCCCAAATGTATGCCTGAAATTGCGGGTAGTACCAAACCCTATATATACTGTTTTTATGAGTCAAACTTATAAATTAGGCACAGTAAGAGACTAGCAGTAATAGCTAACAATCAAATAAAACAACTGTAACAATGTTCTGTAATGAAAGTTTTGTGACTATGGCCTCTCTCTCTCTCGCTCAAAATTTGTTATTGTGCTATACTCACCCTCTTCTTGGGATGACGTGAGATGATAAAATGCTTGTGAGGAGATGAAGAGAAGTGAATGACATAGGAGTTGTGATGTAGTGTTAGGCTACTAGTGACCCTCTGATGACTGATCAGAAGGAGGATCGTGTTTCCAGACTGAGGTGGACCACAGTGGACCGTGGGTAACTGAAACCACAGAAAGCAAAACCACAGATAATGGGGACTACTATATATGTTTTTGTCCATTTCTCTTTGATTTTGATTAACTTGAACAACATACCAAGGGTTGCATAAGTATTGCCCATGACCCATCATATTATTATTATCAATACTATTATTGCCAATAATGGTATTATTAGCCTCTATCCCTGAGCCCACAATAGAAAGCAGGACCTTAATAAATGTAAAGTACTCTGGCTTCAGTGTAAATGTTTAAAATATAAAAATATATGTAACACAACCAAATTCAGTAGGATATGAGAAAAGTTGAGTGGTGGATTTAGACAGCTCAGCAAACTAGGTGTATCGATAGTCCAATTTTCCAGCCAGCCATTAGTTTAAAACTGCAATACAAAATTGAATATGACTCCAGTTATAGCCTTAAAGTGAGCAGTTCCCTTCAATTGGATGCATAGTGTCAGAGCACCTCTCCCATGATAGCAGAAGAGCATATAAGAGAAAGGGGTCAAGGAGTCAACAGAGTCGAAGACCTGAGACTGGCAGGTGTGGGAGCAATTTTTTGTCTTTGTTGTGGTGGGAGTTTTCAATGTAAAACTGGAGGACTGAGACCAACCCTGTAAAGCCTTTGGAAGGCCATTCTCCATATGATTTGTGAACAGCAGTAAACAGGTTCTCTGACGACTGCTAAGCAGTAAAGCAGGAAAGGGCCTTTGGGTGCCAAGGGAGGGAGTGGCTCCCACCTACTGGTGCCCAGACTGCTGGAAAATGCCTTGGAGGAACAGAACAAAGTTGGCAGCAGAGGCAGGACCATGAAGCCTGAGAAAGAAGTGGGACAAAGAATGGCTGACGTGTGTGTGTGTGTGTGTATACGTAGGTGCGCATGAGTGTGCACCCATGAGTGTCTGTCCAGAGGACAGAAAGGAGTGGTGTTTTCCACCCCTCAATGCCTCATAGACTGGATGTTCAGGATTACATAAGTCTCAGTGCTGTTAAACTGGGATTCAAAGCACAGATTCCAATGCTTGCAAGCTTCAAGGTCTTGATGAATTTACCTAACCTCTCTGTGCCTTGGTTTATTTTACTCCCTCTCTGGCAGGGTTGTTGTGCAGAGTGAGTGATTGGCACATAGTGAGCCCTATGTAAGTGTTAGCTAAACAGAAGCTAGTCATGCTAACTATAGTTGGCTGAAGGTTGGTTAATGGTTAACATGCTAAAGAAAGGTGTACAAAGAAGAAAGATAAAACAACAAAATAACTTTACCCCTTTGGCTATAATTAGAATAAGAAAGACCAAATGGGGGGGAGGTTGGGGAATGCCCCACAGAGAGGGAATTCTGAGGGTTGGGAGCCCTGGGCTCTGTCACCAGTTCTGTCATGACTCACTGTAGGACTCTACCCTCTTAAGAAGAGGGCTTGAACTACAGTCTCAGGTCCCACCCAATTTCTCTGCTTTGTCACTTGTGCTCTCTGTGACCCAGGGCCCACCTCTGAGCCACACTGGCAGGGACTCCTGGAGACAGGCCATTAGCACTATCCATGGGCTTGAATGACCCCAGAGTCCCAGGCACTGAATGGAAGGCCCTGTTGCATCCAAGAAAGGAACCTTGAGACGAGTCTGTGTTGCAATCACAGTGTTGTCCCCTGACAGTGATGGTGTACTTCATGATGACTGACAAGGTTCCACAGGTCATGTCCTGGCTTCCCAGCTTCCCACACACTCAGTGCCAAGAGCAGCTATTCCAGTATTTTAAAATCCTTAAAGATTTCCCAAGAAAAGGCGATTTAATTTTGCCATAATCAAATTCACAGATGTCTTAATCTCTCCACAGCTTCTATTCATATGAAATCCTTCTATTACTTTGGGTTGGTAATATTTGTTGAAGCCAGGTTTGAAATACTAGGTGTTTGTTAACAGATCTCAAATGCCTATTTCCATCGCAAACCTCCCTTGCAAACCTCCTACATGCAACTGCCCATTTGACATCTCCACTAGAATATTCTAGTAGATATTTTGAACTCTCCGTGTCCAAACCTGGTACCTGAAGTCCCATCCCGACCACCCCACCATTCCCATCTTCACCCAAAGCCCCGATATCCAGTGGTTAGCACACTCTTTCCACCAGTGTGAATCCACAGTGGAAAAAGTCACTTACTGTCAATAGATTAAGTGTGGAGTTCAGAGCAGTGTTGACAAGTTGAAAGATTTTAAGGGCTAGACCCCCAGTGGCTTTAGGTGTCACTTCCCCCTCTTTCCACTCACCGCAGGGAGATCTATTGGAAGCATTACATTTAGGAGTCAGAGCCCAGTTTGTCAGAGTGATGATAAGGATAGACAGAGAGGTCCTTGTTCTGTGGCTCCCTTTTCCTGCTTAAAATGTAATCCCCACCACCTTTATTGGCATATTCTTTCCTAAATATGTTGATACCATTGATTAGCACATAATTTTCTTTAACATTAGGATTTTGAGCCTTACTCTTCTGTTTTTTAACTTAGCATATTCTCCAGTTAATACTATTCATTACCTATTATGTTTACTGATTCAATCCTCAGAAAGCGACCTTATTCCAAAGCTCCTGGAAGGATCCTTCATTGTCTGTTCATCTATTGCCTACCCATTTTAAGTCTTTTATCTTGGATTGAAATTCTTTTTGTGTGACAGTTTTTCTTTAGGCTATTTGCTGACCATGAGAAGGATCCACCTCAACTTGACTACACACAGATGCTGCTTTATTTTGCTTGTCATCCAGATGCTGTGGAAGGTGTCTATAGGGCCCTCAGTGTGGTCATCGGGACTCATGTCTTCCAGCCAATCGAAACTCTTCCTGTTATTGCAGAAAAGGTAATTGTGTTCCAGAAATGGACTAGCTTTGGGGTCCGGAGGGGGATGCCAGAAGATCCTAAACTTCTAACAACAGAGACTCTGTTTCATCTCTGTATTTTTCTGGGTACCTAACACAGCACTTTACACATAGGAGGTCTTCAATAAACCTTTACTCAATTGGATTAAGAACTAGAGACCCACTATCCAAAAAAAAAAAAACAACAACAACACACCTTTGTAGTAAAAATCAAAATTGGCTCAAAGTTTCTTGGTGGAATCCAAGTTTGTTCTGTAAAGGATAGCCTTTATTTTACATGAAGTGCTGATCCTTACAAATGAAAAAGAAGTGGGCATCAATCCAATCTATCTGTCATCCTATATGGAAATTCTATGTGAAACAGGTTCAGGCCTCAGATATCCCACATATATGTGACACTTGATAGTGTTTCAGGCCAAAGCCCAGCCACCTGAAATCCACAGGTACCTTGTATCTCCTGCATCCAAGGACAAAGAAGCTTAATAGCTAATAAAAAAACTCACATTCCCTTTTAGATTTCTAAAGGATTGGCATTCCCTAGCTTTTTTGGGATGGAAAAGCCTCAGAACAGGAGGCTAACTAATGCATTTATTAGGTGCCCATTTGCATGACTTGTAGTATTCCCCTGATATTTTGGGGACAGAGCTATGGTCCTTGTAATGGAGGACCTCATAATGTCCTTCTTTTATGGACAGAGGAGAAAGAGGTACTGCCCGGTCCAAACTCTGTAGATGTCATAGCCACACTTGTTTGCCTCTCATACATGTCTGTCAAAACAAAGTATGCTGCGTTCCCTTAAAAAAAAAAAGTGGAGGAAGTTTCTGTGACAGCTTTCACATATGTGAAGAAATAGACCCTCTTAGATGTAACCCTGAATTTTGGCCCTGAGCAAATGGACAAAAGATGTCCTTCCCCTCCCATCAGGGCCAGAGTGAGGCCAGACAGGTACCCAGGAAGCTGACCACTCAGGGCTATTTGACCCGATGTGCTGTAGATGTTACTTCAACACTTAACACAGTGGCAGAAAGGACAGCAAGAAATACTTGTTTCACTCAAGAATTCTGTCTTCTTAGACAGTGGAAAGTCAGTTTCAGCTTTCCCAAGTAAATAAGGAGTTAGATTCCAACCACCTCTGTTGGGCCTGCATTTGCCACTTCCCCAGGGATGTTCCTGTCTCCCCGTATAGGTTGGGCCTCCCTGAGCTAACTCTGGCATGGATCATGGCCTGCCAGGAGGTCTCAGTCAAATATCTATCTTCCAGGAGAGCTTCCCTGACCTCAGATGATGTCAGGCACCTCCTGTCATATGTTTCCAGAACATTCTGTGCTTCTTTCATGGTACTCGTCACAGTAACTACTTCTTCAGGTCAGCTTCTTTTCTAGACTTTAAGCATCCTAGGGCAGGGAGGGGCCGTCTGTCTTATTCTGAACCGGCCACAACCCTGAACCTGAATTACTGGCACAGAGGTCAGCAAAAATTTCATTGAGTGAGTCAGTTAATTAATTAATTAGCTTTGTAAATCAGGCTCTCTGCATAGCCCGGTGATCCACAAGGGATACAGAAGAGCCAAATTTTCTCCCCCGAAGGGACTGTGTATAATTGCCCCCATCTGTGCAGAAAAGAATGGAAGAACAATGTCCCAAATGTGGAAGGAACACAGTATAAAGGACAGATTAACACAGGGTCTTACTGATCAAAAACAGTTTTTATACCTTCTTCTTTCCCACTTCCCTATCTCTGTTTTTGCTATTGCTTCCACCTGAAATACCCTTCCTCTCATCCTGAAGGATCCAAGGCCTTCCCATTAGCCAAGGCCTTTTTCAACTACCAGATGATTCATGAAACCTCCCCTGATACTCAAGAGCAACACTGAGCATCCTCAACTGGGCCCCCTTATATTCAGATTCTCCCTGACAGGGCTGAGTACCACTGCATGCATACATGCATTTATTCAACACATATTTATCCAGCTTTTCTGTGTACTGGAAACCACCCTTGACCTGGGGATAAAGTAAGTAACATAAAGACTACATCATATGCTAATAAATGCTACAGGAAAAAAAGAATCTAGGGAAAAAGACAGGAGTTGGGGTAGGTTGCAATGCTGGGAAGAGCAGCAAGGTAATTGCAATTCTAAGTAAAGACAGCAGTAGATGCCAAAGCCCTAATTCCAAAGACCAGCCATTGCAGTTGGAGAGGAGTGAGCTGGAGGAGAGTAGTAAGAACAAAAAGTGACGGGGAGAGGGCCCTGAGGGCCACTGTAGGGACCTTGGCTTTGACTCTGCCAAGAGATGAGATGAGAATTATTGGAACACGGCCATCTGATTTAAAATGTATGGAGATCTCTCTGGCTGCAGTGTTGAGAGCAGACTGTAGGGGGATGAAGGGGGGAAGTAAGAACTAGTAATTCAGGCAGCAGTTTGTCTGTTGAATACTACTGCTAAGTTATCTCTACCTTGAGTTGGGGACAACATGTTAGCTCCAACATAGCAAGTGTTCAGTCAGTGTTTGTAAACATGGCATAAAAGAAGGGAGGAAGAGAGAGAGGCGAGGAATGGAATCCTGTTTCCAAGGTAGAGAGGAGGTGAGCAGACATTCCCAGGAGAGGCAATAATGGATCCAGGAGGCTGCAATGAGCTGGAAAGTCCAGGAAAAAGGAAGCATGTGCTAGAATTGTTGCTATAGCAACAGACAGCTGCCTGGGTGAGTAGCAGCCAAGCTAGCTAGCACAGGAAGGCTGCATCCCCTGTCCCGAAACCACTCATTCACAGAAGTTAGTGCCCCACGGGGAAAGCAAGCCCCTGGAGAGCTTCTCTCCAGAGCTCTTCTAAAGTCCAAGGACACTGCACAGGAACCTCCCTACAACCACTGCACCACACAGATGGAACCATCCTGAGGGGCAGGGGGGCAAAGAGCCTGCCTATGACACACCACACGCAGAAGCCTGTTCCTGGCTCAGGGAGAACCCTAGGAGCTTGAGCTTTTGAAATACAGGATCCGCCCACCGCCCTCATTCTTGCTCACCCCTTGTTCTTACTATCCTGCCTCAAAATTATGCTACTCTGTTACTGTGCCCTTTCCAGCTCTGTTCTAGTTTCCTGGGCAACCTCTTCCCAGGGAGCCAGACTGAGCCTGCTCAGAAATAACACCTCCAACGGATCCACATTCACTCCCAAGACATTAAATCAGATCTCTGTTGTGCTTTCCGCATAAACAACTGGAAATCTCCCCAATAGTTTATTCTTCCTTACTCCACTCTGTGACTCATGCTGTTATATTCAATGTGTCACAGACCTTCTGTTCAAATCCATGGCTCCTTGAGTAATTTAAAAGAAGCTCAAGAGCGAAGCATTCATGAGTATGCACTGGTCCTAGTGAAGCTCTAAATAAGTTGACATTTGGGAAAATGGTTCATTCTGGCCTGCGGGGTTATGGTGTAGGAATTCAGTAAATTGTAAGCTTGAAACTCCCACATTTTGAAGATCTTGTTAAAGCATTTAACAGATGTTAAAGCAGAGCATTTGAGATGCTGGGGTTTGAAACATATAAGTTTTCATTCCATCTTACTCTTTTGACGCTTTGCCCATATCGGTCCCAAGGTCTGACCTTTTGTTCTGCCTCTGAGATGTGGGAATGAACTGATTGAATGATAGAAATGCATGGCCAGGGGCGCCTGGGTGGCTCAGTCGGTTGAGCGACTGCCTTCGGCTCAGGTCATGATCCTGGAGTCCCGGGATCGAGTCCCACATCGGGCTCCCTGCTCGGCGGGGGGTCTGCTTCTCCCTCTGACCCTCTCCCTCTCATGTGCTTGCTCTCTCTCATTCTCTCTCTCTCAAATAAATAAATAAAATCTTTAAAAAAAAAAAAAAAAGAAATGCATGGCCAGGCACCATTCTGGGGACACGTTTGTTGGGACATCTCGAGCCTCTGAGAGGTAACTGAGTGTGACATCGGGTTTGCTAGCACCACAGTCTGTCCTGCTGCTCAGATGCTAATGTGACTCACACAGAGTTTTGATGCCGCTAGTAATTGCTCGTTCAGAAGCACTGGCTTTTCTTCAAACTGGCATCGCTGGTTTTGTTCACACAGCCACATCCAAAATTGTGATCTTTCAGAGATGTCTGTTAGAGGCCTCTTCTCTTGCACCCTCCACGATCTCACCAGGATGCTGATCTGGCTCCTTTGGTTCCCATCCCAGCTTCCCCTCTCTTCCTGCCCTCTCACTGAACCACTAAGTCTATTCTCTCTCAACCGTATGGAGAGCAAAAATAGCAAAAGCATCCTCTGACATTAATAAGGATTCTTCATTAAAATTTCAAATGTTTAAATTGTTGTGTTTGGTAATAATTCATTTGTCCCAGGATGATTATATTGGGCCTCTGAAAAGTTAGTCCCTCTCTAATTATGGAAATAGTGGAGAGAGACAATGCTCTTTCCCTGTTTAATTTAGGTATCACCTGTCATCTAATCTGACTAGTCATTTGCTCACCCACAGGTTCTGTCTTTATCATGTCCATGCAGCATTTATACGGCAGTCTCAATAGAAATCCATTCATCCTACACCACTCAGCAAGATGTTTTCATCTTGACTGTGTTCATTTCATTATACTAAATGTTCTATTGCCCTGGAAAACTATTGATAGGTAGCCAGTGTGATGATCCTCAAGCTTCCTAGGTGGACACGAAAAGACCAGTTTTACATTTCTGCAATGTAACATTTCAATCGTTTAAAATAAAGAAGAAGTTGAGGGCGCCTCGGTGGCTCAGTTGGTTAAGCGACTGCCTTCGGCTCAGGTCATGATCCTGGAGTCCCGGGATCGAGTCCCGCATCGGGCTCCCTGCTCGGCAGGGAGTCTGCTTCTCCCTCTGACCCTCTTCCCTCTCGTGCTCTCTGTCTCTCATTCTCTCTCTCTCAAATAAATAAATAAATAAATAAAATCTTTAAAAATAAAAAAAAATGAAGAAGTTGAATAGATAGATGATAAATAGGTAGATAGATAATAAATAGATGATAGATACATAGATGATAGATAGATAGATAGATAGATAGATAGATAGATAGATAGATAGATAGATAGATGATAGATAGAGAATAGATAGATAGATTTATACTTAATTCCAAATTCTTCACCTGATAAAGCATTCTCTTTCTCCCTCTCTCTTAGATTAGATTAAATTCCCAATTTACCAAAGGATATAGAAACCCAACCCACACAGAGCTAAAGCAAATGCAACCTGTCTTCATTACACTGCTCACAGCCCCTACAAATCTCCTAAAGGGACTGACAACTATCAGAGGCTTAATTTGCTGCTGTATCATAATCCTTTTTATACCTGGGACTCTATTTGGAAAGAATTTGCATGATTAATTAACTTGCACGTAATACTTCTACTGAAGTGAATATTTATAGACATTGGATCCATCCTTTTATTTAAAGCCTAAATTTAACATTTTTCCTTTCTTTGGATAAAGGAGAATCAATATTCAGGTGTTTTCTGACATCTGACCCATCAACATTCTAAAAATGCCCATTTTTCTATGGCAAATCATCAAATATCAATTATCTCATCGTGAAACACACACACACACATAGACACTTTTATTACAGTAAATACAAGAAATACAAATATGTAGAGTATTTGGAAAGTACAAAACTAAGTGAAAAAGAAATCACCTGTTCCACTATCCGGAGGTAACCATTGTTTTCTCTTTACTGTGTCTTCTTTTCACTAATAAGCATAGATATATAAGAAAATGAGGATCCTAGTGTATTTATTATTTTCTTTTGTTTTCTTTTTGCACTTATTCTGTGAGTGTTTTCTCGTGTCACTAGGTATTCTTCTAAACCGTACTTTCCATGGTAGTATAGTATTCCATCACAGAAATACGCTATAATTTATGTCATCACTCCCCATTTTTGGAATTGCAGATTTTCTGTGTTTGTTGTAAGTAACACTGAACAAACATCCATATACAAAAGTCTTTGTGCACACTGATATTTCTTTACAGTCAATTCCTAGATCTGTAGTTACAGCAACAGGCAGGACTATTTTTCAGGCTTTTGATAAATACGAAATTACACCAGAAACAATGTACTCTTTCCCATACTCACAGGGCCAGGGCCTGACTTCATGGCTCTTGGACACGTTTCAAGGAGCGGCCATAGCAATCCCACCTCACTTTCCACATTCAATTTGTTTTCTACCTTGCCTTCCAATGTTTAGTTGGATTTAACCTCCAGTATAAAAACAAACGTTTCGGAAGCTCTTAGAATCTATCAAGCTTAAATAATTAACTTGCCATACCCTCTCAACTATAGTCAATTTCCAAAGCAAATCCTTTAAAAATTGACGTTCATGTACAGAAGCCTGACACCAGTTACACGAATTCACTCCAGTATCCATTTATGGAGGAATCTGAGGTGCCTGGCATCCGAAGCATGTATGGTGAGTAAGAAACGCCCCACACAAGGCATCTGTAATCTCCAGGCAGAATTGGTCTAGATTTTTGATGTGATCTCCAGTGCAACTAGCACGTTCTCCTCTATATTTGTTTGGCTAGGTTGTGGGAGGCACCATCATTTCCTTGCATGAAAAGTATGTGGCAACATTGGCGTGTTCTAAATGTCTCCATTACTGGAAAGACTTCAGTCCGGCTTCATATTCTCTTTATTTAATCATGCAGATCTCCTCCTTGACTGACATGAGTCCAGTTGAGGAATATCCTGAACTCGAGGGAAACTTTGTGAGTGAGGAAAGGGAACTAAGAGAAGACGGGGAGCGAAAGGAAGAAATCCCTGAGTATGTGAACACTGAAAAGATTTCCATGGAAAAACTACTCAAAGTGTTCCAAGGAGGAAAAGAAGTACAGGATGCTAACAGATTTGCCAGCCACGTACAGATAGAGAACGCTTACTCAGAGGTCGGTTAGATTCTTTCATAAAAGGGGCAACTTGTACATAAAAAAAGTCACCCTCAAGTTTTAACATAGTTTCATGGAAGTGCTTTCAAATGTATCATGGTATAGAAATTATGGCAAATTCCTTTATTAAGTAAAATAAGTTTTTAACATCTGCAGGACTGTAAAGTTAATTAACTTCATTTTCTTCTTCTTTAAAGAACTTCGTAAAAGTATTTCAAGACCTAGGTGCCAAGAATCTGGAGCCAGTTGAAGTTGCTGTTCTTCTGAAGCATCCTTTTATTCAAGATCTGATTTCAAATTATTCAGACTATAAAATCCCTGTGAGTATTACCCAAAGGTGTCCTAATTCAGTTGAGCTTAGGATCAGGACATGGTGGGACATCTCCAGTGTGGACTACAGAGACGGGGGAGAAGCTGGAGTTGGCAAAACCAGGGTCAGGAGAAGCTAAGCTGGTAACAGCATCAGCCCAGACAGGCCAGCCCATGATACCCAGAGGGTATCAAGGTCAGGGACAGTAGAGGTAGCTGGCAGTACTGTGGATGATACTGTCAGCATTATGGAACTGCCTCATTAGGCATGGGGCTACTTTGGACCTAAGACAGAAGGTTAAAGTTGATGAGATTAAAGCTGGGTGAGTGGCCATGTTAGTGTTCCGGATCATCCCAGCTGCCTAATGACTGGCCTATGACTGAAGGGTATGGGGAATAGAATCCCCCTTTGCCAAAGAGAACTAAGGAGACCATGATCCCAACCAAGTGCCAACGTAGTCATTGCATTCTAATCATGGTCCACATGGTCTGTGTTGTGCATATGGTGACAGTGCGCATGAAAGCCTGGGTGCCAGTTCCGTCAGGGACGGAACCATTCAAGATGGAGAAACTGAGGACAAAACCCAGCAGACCGGACCAACTCAGAAGGAGGCAAGGAAGAAAAGAAGAGCCGTACTCCAGAGCTCACAGTAACCCAGCCATTCTGTACCACATATGCTGAATGTGCATCCACCATGGCAGTGCCTGGTCTCCAACAGCAAGGGCTAAGGCCAGCAGAGGCAGACCCCTGTTCACAGTGGGGCAAGCGTACAACCTCCTCACATACCAGTTCAGCCGCATGAAACCTCCTTATTTGGCTCCCGCTAGGTGTTTATTGGACTATACAGGGTTTGCTCAGTTTCAGATAAAAGCACTTTCACTTTGATAAAATGAAGCTGATCTAAGATGCATTACTCCTGACTTCTCAGTGATAAAACTCTATGCCCAGAAATGAGACTATTCCAACTTGAATCTCTACAGACCTAAATTGGTTTGTTCTAAATTGCTGATCTTTTTACATAGAAATTGTATTACGTATGTTGGTAATCATTGAAATTGATTCTAACAAGCTAGCAGACTCTCATCCAGTAGTGAAGTGTGATTAGAGCCTTTTAGAACACAGGCTCAGGAATCAGAAAGTCATGGGACTGAATCTCAGGTATACTACTTACTAGATACCTGACTTTAACTTTCTGTTCATCCCAGCTTTCTCATCTGTTAAATGGGAATAACAGCCATTCCTATTCAAAGGATTGTGGTGAGGATGAAATGAGACTGTGCATAGGAAGCACACAGCATGGTTCCTGACACTCGGCAAATACTTCAGAAATGATGGCTGTTAACAATCACTCTTCACGACTGAGCACTTATTACTGAGGCTAGTAATGTAAGTTTCCAGGAGAGACAAAATGAGTACGAAACTCAGTTTCTGTTCTCAAACAAATTCCACTTCTGTTTGCAAGAGAATTTTTACATGCAAGAATTACCAGAGAATGATATAAGGTACGCCACCCAAGCAAAACATTATAGGAACTCAAGACATAGGACACTTTTTTTGTTCCAGAAGCTGAATCTTCAAAGATGACCAGGATTGTTGAAAGTGGAGAGACAGGAGAGGACGTGTACACGGATTTGCTGTTGGGATGGACAGAGGACAGCATCACAGGGAAAAGGAGAGACCTGTGCCAAAGGCATGAGCAGAGGATTGTGTGGGAGGAAGGGGAGGCCAGGAGGGCTTCTGAGTAGGGGCGTGATGTGACATCATCTTCATCCCAAAGTGTTTCTTTGTCACCATATCATATCATTATGTCTCTACCTTTAATAGGGCTCTTAAAAAAAGAGTTGTGCCTCTTTATAGAAATAGGCCAAAATAGTTGGAAACATGGTTAGCATTCCACAAACATTTACTGTTTGCATACAAACTGGTACATTACATGTCCCTTTCCGGTTTCTTATATCACATATTTTCATTAAATATGAAATTAGGAGGAGGAGGGCATAGGTCAGTGTGACCCTAGAGTTAGTGGGGACGGAGAACACCAGAACTAGACAAAGGGGTGGAGAGAGAGTCGCCAATTGTGGGGATCTACCCCCACTTTGGCTTTCCTCTGGGCTAGCGTCATTCTGTATAAGGTAGGTTCCAGAGCTGTATGTTAGAATTTATCTTATATTAATTGCCAAGAACCAGTAGGAACATAAAAATGATGCCACAATTTTTTCCTCCCCTAATGGGAGGAAAACTCCGTACAAAGTCAGGCAATTTGGGAACGTCTTTACTCTGGCCAGACTAAATATGATTAACTTGCAGAGAAGATTCTCTTCAGCATTTTCCTGAGGAAAGAAAACAGCCAATGGATGACTGCCTCCGAAAGGCAGCCCCTTGAAAAAAGCTTTCCTAGGGAGAGCTGGAGTCCATGGGGCTCTTTTTCATTTATGCATTGCCCTCATTTTGGAAGGAATCTGATCAACTTGCCATACACCTCACTGCTGACACTTTGGACAGTGCAGTCCCTCCCCTCTGCGCAGGACTGTCTCCAGCATGGCAGGATTCTGGGCCGCCGCCCAGTCTACCCCAGGAGCACCTGCACAGACGGACTACCAACACCATCTCTGCACATTCCCCAAATCTCCCTGGGGTGCAGCGTCCCTCTCTGGCTGGATCCAGCCAGCGCGCGGTGTCTGACCGCCAGGGAGTCAGCCTCCCCGGACCAGCAGAAAGAGAGTTAGACTGTCTGTCACCAGTCGGTCTGTCCATTCACTCCTTCACTGCCAGAGCGCCTCGGCAGAGTCGGCTGCTTCAGCGCCTCCCTCCTCGCCATCACCTCTTCTCCCGGACCCTCCCCCTCAAATCCATGAGAGGACCGAGGACTACGTAAGTGGGACTCATTCGTATGACTGGGAATCTGAGAGTTGAGACTGTAACCTAAAAACCTAAGCCCTGATATTCTAAAATGAAAGAGCTTCCCTTTCCAGTAAGAAGTTCTACTCTCCTTTTCACAAAGCAAAAAAAAAAAAAAAGAAAGAAAAGAAAGATAAAAATAAAGGAAAAAAAAAAATCTCTGAAGATTCAGTTTCTGTCAAAGCCATCCTGTCACCATTTCTGCTCCAGATATCCATGTGCAAGTAAACAGATCACATTTTAAAATGAACTTTAACCACAGTGATGTTATTTGAAGATCTTTCAAGATAAGTAGAGCAAAAGCTAGAATGTGGTTTTTCAGGTTAAAATGTTGTTTGCTGTTATAAACAGTGGGAAGTGAAGGTTGTTTGCCTGATACCTTGTGTTTACAAGGTTTGTGTTTGGAAGCAGCAACATTTTAAAATATATATTTGAAATATCTGAGTATTTGTAATTATTTTGGTATGTTTTATTTTTGCTCTTATTGGGAGGCGGCCTGGCTTTGTGGTTGAGAGAGTGGGCCCAGGAGCCACGCTGATTGGGTTCACACCTACAAACTGTGTGACCTTGGGCAAGTGACCTCATGGTGCCTTGGTTTCCCCATCTGTAAAATAGGGTTACCATACCCTCATAGGGCTCTTGTATGGATTAGATGACTTAGTACGTATAAAGTGCTTAGCTCAGTGCTTGGCAGGTAGAAAGCACCCGATAATAAACGTTAGACATTATGGATTATTATTACTCTTACTGTTACTGGTTTGCTGGTAGTTGCAGTGCCCAGGAAATATTTCTGAGCCATGTGAAATTATATGTGGATAAATAAATAAGCTAGGGCATTTCATCTCCTGAATTCAGTGTCTGCTCTTTGAAAAGAAAGAAAAAGGCTTTCATTGTCTCAGTGCCATGATGACAAAGAGTCCAAACTGGTGTCCCAGAAATCCCCATGTGGCCACTACCTATGGGGAAAATCCAGATTTTGTGTTGGATTTTATAGTCATTCAATCAAAGTCATTTATTTAATTTCTACTTTCATAGATCTTATACAAAGAGGTCATTTCAAGTAATGTTCCTAAATTATTAAGAAAATGCTTTGGTTAAATAAATGTAACAAGATCAATGAGGACACTGTAATTGGGTTGTTAGTGAGCAAAATCAATTAATTTCCCATGACCAATATATTTAAAATGTAAGTGAACACAAGATTTCCCACACCAACCTAAATAAGTGTAGTCTCTTCTAATGAACACATGCTGACTAAATGTAGATTATTTTTAGCAAACCTGTAAATCCAGCATATATCCTTGAAATTAAGGTTTCCATTCAATAGGAGATAATAATAAATCTTTTAGTGTTAAAATCCAAATACCACAGGAGAATTTCTTATAAGTACATGAGTTGGGACCCCATTAATTATGTGAGGACAAAATGATTTATTAAGGATGACTTGAAGGAACTCTCATCCCACTGTAACTTCAGGGTATCTGACTTTAAAATATTCTCCAACCTTCTCCTTTATCTCCCTAACAAAATATGATGGCTGCTTCAGCACTTCGTGTTTTCAAAGCACCCAGGTCAAACATTTCCAGACTCTCTTGGCTTTTCTCCAATAACTGCTACTGAAAATTATGGCCTCTGACTTCAACAGCAAACTTACCCAGGGCTGGCTTATACATCTGGAGCTTATGATTTGGTCTGCACTGCGGAGTGTCAGGTGATTCCAGGTCAGCTCACTCCTTCATCCCCAAGTGAGCATTCAGTAGTCAGCATTAGTTACCTTAAGTACACTATTCAAAGGAGACGTGTTATTAACAACTGTGGTGGATAGGACCAGAAAGGTCAATGGTGAGCAGCTGTTCTTTTTCACATGGTTCACTCAAGTTTGACCTCTGGCTGCAGGAAATCTGTATTTTCAAAGAACAAGGTCTCACAAGAAAATGATTCACTATGATTCCTGGTAGTGACTGATAATAAGCAGTGTGTGTCACTTGGCAGGGGTCAGCTCAGATAGTGAACTAACTCATGTCTTCTTGCGTAAAATGACCTCAGTCAAATTGAAACCTTTGGAACTCAGCTTTGAAGAAAAGAAACTTACATTCTTAAAGCATTTCCCTAAATTTGTGGGGGGGAAAAAAACTGCATATATATAATTCTACAGTTTCCACATGTGTTTGTACCCCTTCTATATTTTGATGCTGTTTTAAATTTATGTTTTCAATGTCTGTGATGTAAAATGTAAGATGCTGGTATTTTAAATGGATGAAAAACAAATCTTCTATTCCTAATATTAAAAAATAAAATAAAAACATGGAGAAATGAGACAATCTCCCCTCCAAATAATCTGCTGGTCTAAAATTCTACAAATCTGTAGACATGATGGATTTGGCATTAGAATTTTTCTTTAATACAAAATAAATACAGTTGCTCATTCATTAATAGGGAAGTAACACTTTGGCTTGTTCATTATGTGCCAAACTATGTGTAATTGCTTTTTACAAATGTTATTTAATCTAATAAAACAATTCCATTCATTATTAGATTAGAAAACAAAGGCTGCAAGATCTTTGATATCTTCCCAAGGGTACAGGCAGTAAGTTGCAGGGTGACATTTAAACTAAATAGAGCACCATTTTCTTAAAGAAAAAATAAAAACAATTTACTGTTTCATCACTCCCATATTATGATCATTAATTCTAAATCACTAATTCTAAATCACTTATTAATATTTGTTATTTCTCTTTATATCTCTTCCTTTAGGATATTAAAATAATTCTCCAAAGGAGTGAGCATGTACAAGGAAGTGATGGAGAGAGATCTCCTTCGAGACTTACAGAAGAAAAGAAATGAAGACAAGAGTGTGATTTTTATAATTTGACAACGAATCTTGCAAACATCAATGTAAACAAGGTGTTGGTCATATATGTTGTCATTGTAGGTATAGAAATGACCCCTACCAGGTTATGAGGAGCAATGAAAAGGGGGCCTTCCTTAACTCAGAGAATATTCTATAATAAACCTTAATTACAGAGCAAAAATCCAAATAAAGAAGGAATGCATTTTGAAGTGATTCTGAAAATAGAAGGCATCAGACAATATGTTCAAAAATAAACACACACATAAGTCATGAAAAGTCCCTCTGAGAAGTAAGGAAACATTAAGCAAACATGGTGAAAATCCCCCGAAGCTCCACATCAGGGAAGTACTGATATGTACATTTTGTCGTTCTTGCTCCACATGCAGTAGAATTCTAAGGTCCATCCCACTAGCCAAAGAGAAGGATGCATCATCAACTGCTGGTACAGCCACCTCCTATCATCTATTCCTAACCCTTCCCTAATATAATACAATGTTTCCCAAATAGATGGATGTATTTGCACAATTATATCTGTTTACTTATATAAATTAGTGACTTAAATTCAGTGATACTTATCTCAAGAAAATGTTTTCTTTTTAAGTGAGTGATAAATGTATTCTCAGTGGTGAGCCTTCTGTGAAATCTCTGCTTGGTCTCCATCCCCTCCCTGGCTGCTCCTTCTGAGGCTCCCTGGCGCCTGGATCCTCCTCTCTTTTCCTCAACCTCCAAATGTTGGAGGGCCTCAGAACTCAGCCTCCTCCCTCTACAGTCAATCCCTGGATGACTCGTCATTTCCATTACTTTGTGGGTATTATAGAGGCTAACGCTGAAATTTCTAGTCCCATCATTCCCTGGAATCCAAACTTCGCTCATACTACCCATTTGATTACCATACTGATGGCTCATAGTCATCGCAAACTCAACCTGTCCAAGCCAACAGGGGGAACCTTTCATAATACAAGTGAGGTCATGTCACCCCTCTGCTCCAACCCTCTATCAGCATTCCATCTCATGCAGCATCCAGCCCAAGTTCTCGCCTTAAACTTATCCCTTGCTACCTTTCTGATCTCATCTCCTGCTGTTTTGCCTCTTGCCCACTCTACTTACATTACAAATCCACCTTGTTGAACCTAGAACATACCTGCACGCTTCTGTCTCAGGTCCTTTGCAGGTACTTTTTTCTCTGCCTACAATGATTTTCTCCCAAATATCTGCATGACTTGTCCCCTCACTTTGTTTAGGTGCCTGTTTATATGACACTTTGTCAGGAAGGCCTTCCCTGAACACATTACAAAATAGAAATAACCCACAGCCCAACACAACATAATTTTTTTCCATTGTACTTATCAACATCTGACAAACTACATGTTTACTCTTTTGTTTGCCTGTCGCTCCACTAGGCTGTAAGTTCCATGAAGTCAGAGATTCTCTTGTATTTCCTTTATTACTCTGCTCCAGAACCTAAGACTAAAATCATTGCCAGCTTTACATTTTATTGATACATTTGTGCAAAATATGTGGAAATATCACACTTAGACTGATCACTAAAACAAGAAGCAATCCAAAGACAATTTCTATTGTTAGAGTTATATTCTCTTTCTGGAGCGTGACACATTTCCTTAATTTGCATCTTGTGGGCTCCATTACCATAACTCTTATCTTCAAAATGATGGAGGATGGTGACCCAGAAGCACAGTGATGGAAAAGAAACTCTGCCAGAGATTTCAAAATTCAACTTAGCTGGTTTGCATGCAATTCTAGTTATTACCAGATAATTCTAGTTATTCTAGAGAAGGGAGGAGGGAAATATCTGAAAATCGAGTTCAAATAAATAAAATATCATGATGAGGACACAGGCAATAAACTAATCCACATTTCGTCAAGGACTGAACAAGACAAGGCAACATTACTTTACAATAGAAAAAAATTAAAAGCAGAGCTAACAGTATCCCTTGCTCTCATAATGTTCTTGTACAACATTGTTAAATAAGGACATTGCAGAATCTCCCTCCTGAGGCCCATTGACTCATCTAAGCCGTAGGAGAGCAACCACCACATGAAAGGTCTCCCTGGTGGGTATTTGCTACCATGTCACAATCTCTTAATCATCAAGACTAAGCAGATGTTGTGACTGGGCGTTACCCAGAGCTATAAAAGGAGCTCTCCCGCACAGGTCCTGGGGCAGGCAAGGTGTGGAATTTCACCTCTGAAACTAGAGGCTGCATGGGATTCTCCCAGACAAAAGAAGAATGTGCTAGAACTCATCTACCTGAGGGCCTTTCAAGTCTTATAATTCTAGGAAATGCCCAACCATCTTCAAATCATTCTGATGCTGTTTTGCACTAAATATTACTATGTCCTCCAGCTGCTGCCTTTGAGATGGAAGTCTCTTATCTTGGTGGCTCTCTTCTGGATATCACTGTGGCCTTTACAGGATTGTTCATAATATCCTTGCGAACAAAGTCAACAAATATGGACTGAGTGCAAGGACAAGTGAGTTCAGACCCAGTGGAGGGGCACAAAAGATTCATCACACAAATTATTCATTATCTCCCTTCCTCAGTGGACTGTTAGCTACAGAAACTACTATCCTGGTCTATCTTACTGATCTCTGTGATACAAAACATCCACAAAGACATTCAAAAAGGGATATAGGATCCAGGCAAACTATAATTATGGTTGACACAGTGTTGAAAGAGATTTGAATTAAATTATGTTTAATAAGAGAAAGAGGACCCAATAACAAGGTTAAGGGACTAATAATTGGTGACTATAGTTAATAATAGCTGCTAGTTTTGAGGGTTTACTATGAGGCAGGCACTCCACCGAGAGCTTTACAAGCATTGTCTCACAACTCTGTGAGGTAGGTACTCTTAGGATTGCCATTTACATAGAATGAAAAGGACATTCAGAGAGATGATTAACTTGCCCCAAGTCACACAGCTGGTAAATAATACAGACTAGGAACTCGATATTAACACCAAAAGCCACCCTCTTGCCTGGTTTGCTCAACTTATGTACAAATAACCAATCGCACAAGCACAGGATGGAGGAAGTATGGCTTAGCTGTGTTTAAAAATAAAAACAAAGGGTTTTGTTCAAAGCAATTTGACTAATTAGCTGTGTGATGTGGCCCCTAAAGAATCCAATGCCCTCAGAGCATTAGTGGCTATAAGGGAGATGCTGATTTTCCTCTGATCTGCGGTGGTCAGACCTCAGCTGCAATTCTGTGTGCAGTTCATGGTAACACGCTTTAATATATGCAGAGTCTATATATGCAGAGGAACTCATTTTTTTTATTCAGAAGTGAGGAAATTCAAACCCCTCAGCCTTAGGCTTGAGTAGAGAGGCTTCTAACTTAAGGGACAGAGAAGTACTCTCTGCGGTCCCCAGGGATAAACCAACACTCATGGTGAATGTTGCAGCATGACAGATTTCAGCAGCTGCTAGCTCCCTGTTGCTAGAAGAACTCTGACAGAGGCAGAGTACCATGTGGCAGAAGCGTTGGGTGCCATGACAGGAGTGCAGAACTTTACCCCTTGTCTTACTCCTACTGCATTTCTGTCTCTATTGAATCAGCTTCTCGGCTCTGCTACCTCAACTTCCATCTATCTCTATCTCCTCAAAGGGGCTTTTCTGCTTGGTCTTCATTATGTATGGATCACACCTTTCTTTAAAGCATTTTGACTATGCTTATCCCACTGTATGAGCAGCCCCTATTTCCTTGCACTAGAAGCCCTACCCATAGAACCCAATACCATACAGCAGCCACTTAGCTGTTACCCTGTCTGAGTCAGCTGAAGACTCCCTAAGGGAGGATTACAATGGAAGCAGATGAGATACAGATTTTGGATGGGGCATTTGGCAGGATGCCCCATCCATCTCTGAGGTTCTTTGAGAAGAGCTCCTCCTCCTTACTTCTGATTCTCCATTAATGGCAACACCTGCTGTTCTCCTGGTCTTTGACACTCAGAACCTGGGCCGAGTCCTTGCCTCCTGGTTGTCTCTCCCCCTTCACACCAGAGTCTTATTACTCCATATAAATATCTCTTACATCTGTCCTCCCCTTTCAGTTCCCACAGTCCCCAGCCTGTTTCAAAAGCCCTCAGAATCTTTCTTCTAGGCTCTTGAATAGCTCTCCATTGTTCCCCTACTTTCTGTATCTTCTACATCTTCCCTTTTTCTACCCAAATCCAGCCTCTGCACTACTTCCAAAATAATCTTCCTGAAACTCTGCTTAAGCATGTCACACTTTTGCTTAAAAAAAGTTCCCTCTACCCCTTGCTATCAAACAAATTCCACATCTCTTAGAATATTATTTATAATCTGACTCTTTCTATATTCATCATCTTTTTCTCGCACTCACCTTCATACAGCTTCATTCAACATAGCCTCCGATACTTACTAGATAATAAATATGGAATGAAGTAATGAAGAGGGATGTCTCCTTTTACCAGAAATTCTAAAAGGTGAGAACATCTTTTAGAGTAAAGATGTTCCTGTAATCTTTTTCACCCCTTACGCTAGATCTGTTGAGAGAATTGATTTTATTTTCTGAGGATTATTTGTGTGTGTGTGTGTGTGTGTGTGTGTGTGTGTGTGTGTGTGAGTGTATGGAGGTGGTAAGAAGATCACTTTCCCCCTCCCCAAATGGCTCCCTGCAGTTCTGGAGAAGACAGGCTGAGTGACATCAGGGTACATCCCCTGGAGGCTGACTGACTCATGGAAGCTAAGGAGAACCAAGAATTCTATTGTAATCAGCTCCTTTGAGGATCTGTAGACTAATCTAACCCTGAACAGGTCTGCCCGGCAGACCTCACCATCTGGGTGCCGTCTAAGCCCCTCCACCACACCTTACCCATCTTATCTAAACAAAGGGCCCTAACTGTGCCCCAATACCTTTGCAACTTAGTCTGCCTCCTCTCCTATTTTACTGGTATATTTGACTTAATAATGAATTTATGTTGCCTGTTGGAGTAGCTCCTTCAGCCTGCAATAGTTCTCATGTTCTCTGACACAGACTTAGGAGGGCAACCTCCGTTACTAGAGGCGTCACCAAAGATGCTGTTGATCTAGGGGTAAACAAATCGATGAGCACATTCACTCTCAGATTCTTAGCATAAGAACGGAGTGAAATTTTGTTTTTAAGCCTGTGTCAAAACAAATCTGGAAAGAGATGTCACTAGAGTCTCGTGGTTGCAGTTTAAAGCCCCCAAAGGGCCACCTTGGGCTTGAAGCAGTGCCTTGAGCGCTTGAGCTCCAAGCAAATGCTGTTGTGTCTTTGCTCACTTCACGTTAACCACAAGGAGACAGCGACACTGAGCACTGTCTGAAACAGCCTCACCTTGCTGTGCCCCCACAAACCAGGCTGAAACCACAACATCCTTCTCGCACGCGGCAGACCTCACTATGCGCTCAAAGGCTGAGGGCTTACTCCTCTCCCACTAGTTTTACTGTTTTAGCCCATCTCATGGTATAGTCCCTGTAAATCAAGGAGAGCCTTTGCCACCAGGCTCCTTGCAAGAGTGTCT